CCCACCATCCCCCGGCCTCATGGCCTGGGGCAGTTGTCCCTCCACCTGATCACATCACAAGCTAAAAGAGCTCCCAGAGGACAGGCTGCCTAACCTATACACATATTCCATTTGGCCTTCAGAGGTTGAATTAAAATTCATTTTTAGAATTGGCATCATCTAAAAAAGTAGAAATTTTCACATAAAAAGCAGCTTTCCAGCTTTATTTGAAACTTCAGGAGATCTGGCCCCACAGGGCACACATTTCCTCAGGGAGCAGCACAGGGGTTCCCCCTGCCCGCTCAGATCAAGCACATGCTCTGCAGCTCCCCAGTGGATATCTGCCCTGCCAGACCCATTATAGACATTGGATTTGCTCTCCTGCTTCTGATCTGGCCAAATGCTTCTCTGTGCAGCTGGGGGCTGACTCTGAAGCACAGGTTGGAGAGCTTCCTGACCCGACCCCACAGGAGCTGTTGGTGGAACAGAGCCAGCTTCCACTTCTCCGGTCACCTAGGGCTGTGTGACAGCTCTTCAGCACAGAGTTTGAGTGATTGATTGATCTGTGACCCCAGGGCCCAGCTCAGAGCCCACAGAGAACAGGCATTCAGTGCTGGTGACTGAATGGCAGAGAATACCAGGAGTCAATGGAGGGAAACAGAACTCAGAGGAGGAAGGGTCACTTTGGCCTGGGGGGGTCAAGGAAGGCTTCCTGAAGGAAGAGGCCTGGTCGCAAGGGCCTATTGGCCTAAGTATAGTGGCTAACAGTTACTGAGCAACTATGTACCAGACACAACAATCCTATGAGATCGGAACTATCACCAACCCATTTTATAGGTGAGGAAACCGAGGCACGGAGAAGTCAGCTTATCCTGGTCAACTAGTAAGTAGTGGAGACAGGATCCAAACCCAAGGCAGCCTAACTCCAGGGTCTGCCTAGTTAACGCCTGCCTGTTGAGTGCCAGGCCTACACATGGGGCATATTCTTCACATGATCTGATTTTCATGAAAAGGGTATATGTATGCCTATTTTACAGACATGTAAATGGAGGGCAAGAGGTGAAGTCGCTTGTCCAATTGGTGCTCTTTTCACTAAAGGGCCTGACATAGAGAGTGGTATGGGGGGTGCGGACAGACTTGGGAGGCCAGAGGGCAATGCCTGTTGACCCTTTCTTCTCTCCCATGCAGGCACTGGGCTGGTCCTTCGTGCTGCTGACCACACTGCTGGCATTTGTCGTGCGCTCTGTGCGACCCTGCTTTACACAGGCCGCCTTCCTCAAAAGCAAGTACTGGTCCCACTATATTGACATTGAGCGCAAGCTCTTCGATGAGACATGCACGGAGCATGCCAAGGCCTTCGCCAAGGTCTGTATCCAGCAGTTCTTTGAGGCCATGAACCATGACCTGGAGCTGGGTCACACCCATGGGGCCCTGGCCATGGCCCCTGCTAGCTCAGCTGACCCAGTTACCACGGACGGTGCCAAGGAAGAGAGGGAGAAGCTTCGAGGCATCACCGATCAAGGTGCCATGAACAGGCTGCTCACGAGCTGGCACAAATGCAAGCCGCCCCTGAAGCTGGGCCAGGAGGAGCCCCTGATGGGCAATGGCTGGCCAGGGGGCGGGCCCCGGCTTCCACGCAAGGAGGTGGCCACCTACTTCAGCAAAGTGTGAGCTGTGGCCAGATGAAGAGGCAGGAATGGGGGTCTGAGCTCACGGCCCATCTGACCTCAAACCAGATGGAAAAATGAAGGCTACAGGTGCTGAGCGGTAGGCCCCTGGAGCAGACCTACGTGCCCAGGCATTCACCTGCCCATTTGAGGCTGGAAATTTGGAGTTGGAAGGGGACCTCACTCCTCCAGCTGTCACACGCCCTAGAAGGCCCCAGAAAAGTGGACAGTGGAGCCACTAGCAGTGTTAGTCAAAGGTTCAAAATTGGTTTGGAGGGGACAAGCTCCCACTTCCCCATCCCCTCCCAGGCCACTTTATTTCTGGTTCATGATCTGCACTCAGGTTCTACGGACACCCTTGCCCCAGCATCCACGCTTGTCTGTGATTTTTTGAGAGCTCCGTTCCTGTATGCTCACGGCTCAGGGAGTGAGCGGGTATCCAGCCGTCTCATGAAACAGCAGTCCTCTGATGTTTGGCCAGTCTCCTGAGTGAGGCTGACCAGGCCAAAGGTGGGTCACACCTGGTGTGACACAAAAGATGCCAGAATCTAGGTCCGTTAGGGAGAAGCCAGGGTATGTGGTCACCATGGAGGTCACGCGACAATTGTCATGGTGGACTGCATGTTTATTTAACACCAAAGGCCTCCTGTCTTAGTCCGTTTGGGCTGCTGTAACAAAATATCCCAGACTGGGTAGGTTATACACAAAGGACAATTATTTCTCACTTCTGGAGGCTGGAAGCCAAGACCGTGGTGCTGGCATGGTCCCGTTCTGGTGAAGGCTCTCTTCCTGACTCATAGCCAGTGCCTTCTCACTGTCCTCACACAGCAGAAGAGCCTCTTTTATAAGTGCACTAATTCCATTCATGAGGGCTCCACAAAGGCCCCGCCCCCTAATATCATCACTTTTGGGGGTTCAACGTATCAATCCTGGAGGGGGCCCATTCAGACCAAAGCACCTCTCATGGTGAAGGTCCTCTCACTGACACCTCCATCGCATCCAGGGGAAATCAGGCCACCCGCAGGGCTTGGCAGTTGGACACAAGCTGAGTCTTCCCATTTTCTCAAAGCCCCCGCCCCCCTGGGTGGAGGCTCTAAAGTGCTTGAGGCACTGCCCTGAGCTGGGGATGAGGGTGCAGGGGTGGAAGGGGGCTGCCTGGAGTGGAAACAGCTCAAGAGTCCAGAGTGAGACAGAACGGGGTGAGAAGCTGGCTCTACCACTTACAAATTGTGTCCCTTGGCCGGCTACTTCATTTCTGTGCCTCAGTTTCCTCCTGTGTACCATGGAGATGAGGTTGTACCAATCTCACGAGGTTGTTGTGAGATTAAATGAGTGAAGTGTATAAAGGACATGGTATATGGTAGGCACTCGGTGTGTGTGGCTGACATGTTTGTTGATTTCTGAACCTGTGGGCGTAACCTCCTCGTCCCCCTGGACATGAGAGGAGGGACATCAGGAACTGCAGCCATCTTTGTTGAAGAGGAGGAAACAGGGCCAAGAAGATGGGCTTCTTGTCCCCTCATCTATCTTTAAGATGCAAGTCCTGTCCTGGCTGGTTTAGCTCAGTAGACAGATCATCGGCCTGCAGACTGAAGGGTCCCGGGTTTGATTCCGGCCAAGGACACATATGCGGGTTGCAGGATCGATCCCCAGCAGGGGACGGGCAGGAGGCAGCCATTCAATGATTCTCTCTCGTCATTGATGTTTCTATCTCTCTCCCTTCCTCTCTGAAATCAATAAAGAAATATATATATATTTTTAAAAAGATGCAAATCCTACTCATCTAAGAATTCATTTTTTTTTTTAACATATATTTGTATTGGTTTCAGAGAGGAAGAGAGAAATAGAAACCCAGGAATTGAGCCCACAACTGGGCATGTGCCCTGACCAGGAATGGAACCATGATCTCCCGGTTCATAGGTTGACACTCAACCACTGAGCCACATCGGCTGGGCTAAGAATTGATTTTGATCTTGAGCCCTACAACATTGTTTTAATAATTTCCATTCTTCCATATTCACCCTTCTCTCTATTTCCACGTGTGAAGCCTGGTCTCCCTCCCTTTAATAGTTTGGGAGGAGGGCCAACCCTGTAGGCCAAGCTGGGTGGGAGGGCTCCTCCAGGATGTGGGACTTGATCTAGACCCTGAATGAGGGGGAGGATTCAGATGAGTAAAGATCAGGTGTGTGTTGGGGATGGGGTGGGGCTTCCAATGGGAAAAGCCAGCCAGGAGGTATTGGGAAGTAAAAATGTGAAGAGTAAAGCTTTGGGTCAGGCAGACGTGGGTTTAAATACTAGAGCTGTAGGACCTCTGGTAAGTCACCGAATCCCTCCGAGCCTCAGTGTGTCCATCTGTAGAATGGACATTAAAAGATCTGCTTTCCCGGATGATGGTGAGGATAAAGGGAGATAACTTTGAAGGAAGAATCTGGAACGGTGCTTGGCACGTGGTAGGATCTGAAAAATAAACACTGGTCCCTTGCTCTTCACTCCTGCACATGGACAAGTCCAGCTCAGAGGCCAGCATGTTACTCAGCAGTTCCACTGTGATAGAACCGCAAGCATTACAGAGCTGGGGGTCTTTCCCTTGATCCTAGGAGTCATCCAGCCTGTCCTTGGACAAGACTCTCTCCTCTGCAGAATTCCTGACTCATGGCTCTCAGCCTTAGTTCGCACACTCCACAGGTGGGGAGCTCATGACCACTTTTTGGCACAGTCTGGGCAGCTCTGATCATTACAGAGCAACAGTTCTCAACCTGTGGGTCGCGACCCCTTTGGGGGTCGAACGACCCTTTCACAGGGGTCGCCTAAGACCATTGGAAAACACATATATAATTACATATTGTCTTTGTGATTAATCACTATGCTTAAATTATGTTCAATTTGTAACAATGAAAATACATCCTGCATATCAGATATTTACATTACGATTCATATCAGTAGCAAAATTACAGTTATGAAGTAGCAACGAAAATAATTTTATGGTTGGGGGTCACCACAATATGAGGAACTGTATGAGAGGGTCGCGGCATTACGAAGGTTGAGAACCACTGTTATAGAGGCTTTTCTTAAAAGCCCGCCTCCTTGCAATTTCCATCAACCAGTCAGAGTTCTGCCCACAGGGCCTCAGAGAATCCCTAGACTCCAGAATTCTATCTCCAGTCCTCTGAGATTGGAAGCAGTAACTGAGGAGTTAGCTGGAGTCTGGATGGAAGGATTTGTCCTGGCAGTGGCTGAAGGAGAAGGGCCAGAAGAGGGGTGGGGATGGGTGGAGGCTGTGGGCAGGGGGCAGGCCTAGCCTTGCATATCCTGTGATGGGTCAGCTTCAGTCTGATGGCATCTCTCCCCTAACCCTGCCAAGGTTTTGTCCCAGCAGCTTCTGTCTAGCCAGGGTGGGGGCAGGGTGTCAAGCATAGGGGCTGCTCTTGTAATTGGCTGGGAAGGCAGGCCCAGGCCAGTTCTCCCACAGGCCCCCAGCCTGGCCCCTGAACCAGTCCCACTGGTGTAGGGCACTGTCAGGTGGGCTCCAGCAGCAGCTCTCTTCTTCGGGAAGGCAGGCAGGCAGAGCCAGGCTCAGGCCACAGGCCAAGAGCTGCTCAACAGGCAGCCCAACTTCCTCTCCTCTCGCACCGCCCTCTGCTGCCCGCCCTCCTCTGCCTGGCTGGGGGATGTTTTCCACTCACTGGCGTGCAAGCTCCATCCCGCTGTTTCCTCCTCTTTTTGGAGTTAAACTTTCCTGAGGACGCCCCCAGCTGTGCAGAAGAAAGTGAGACAGAGTTCTTGGAGGGCATGGTCAACAGAAGGCACTTCGGTGGAACGGCCCCACCCCAGCAGGCCCCACGCTCCCAAGTCTGAGCGCCACTCAGAGAGCCCAGCCACAAGGAGGCCAAAGCCACTCTGCCGTGCCTGTCTGCCTGCCGCTGGTCCCAGGTAAGGAAGGTCCCCTCCCTGGGGTGTGCCCGGTGACAGGAGAGCAGGGCAGGGCCAATCTGAGGCTGCCCAGAGGGATTGTCCTGGAGAGAGGCCCCTAGCTGAGGCATCCTCCGCCCCCCCCCCCACCCCGCCTCCCCGCGCCCCCCCTCCCCGCCCCAACTCTGGCAGGGGCCAATCCTGTCCCTCCCCCAGCCACCTGACCCCTGTCCTGACTGTTGCTGGAGGTCTCACTCCCAGCTGGGGGGAAGGGGGCAGTAGTCTCAGAAGCTGGCTGGTCCCACCAGTGTTCAGGCATCTTATACCCCACTTTGTAGTTTATAAACCCAGGGCCTCCCACAGAGCTCATTAGGAACCTTGAAACCAAGGGGGGGGGGGGGGCGGCGCGGGGGAGAGGGAGAAGGGGCTGCTTTTAACCCATTCATCCCCAGCAATATTACTCCCTTTTCCAGGGAGTTAGACTGGAGCCCCTAGGCTGTGAGCTGGATCCCTCTCTTCCTCCATCTCCTGGCATCCCACACATGGTCAGCCAGCTCTGCCCTGCCCATGTGGCAACCTGGGCAGAAAGAAGGCATAGTAGGAAATATGGGCAAGTCTCCTCACATTAATTAGCTGCCCATACCAGCCTCCTACACCCTGGCTTCCTCTGGCCTATGGGATTTTTAAAATTTTTATTTTATTTTTCCATCACCATTTATCCCCTCTAAGCCCTCTTTCACATCTACCCACCCCCCTCCTGGCCTATAGTTTTTTTTCACCCCAGGGATGGGGAGAAGGACACATGGGGCCAGGCCACACCCTGGCTTGTTTCTGGCTTGTGTGGGTGGAGCCTGGGAAGGCAGCTGGGGCGGAACCAGCCTGGAGCCTAGGCCACGACCACTTCCTGGCAGGCTGCCAGCGCTGCTGCAGCCCAGACCAAGGCAGAGCCAGTGGGGCAGAGCCAGTGGTGAGCACAGCCGAGCCTTAGCTTCATCAAGGCTTCCTGTCGCTGGCAGCTGTGTGATCCCTGAGTCCAGGGACCTGGTGCAAGAGGGCTGCTGGGAGGCTGCTGGATAGGGAATGGTTAGTGGGCGAGGAAGGGGAGGTTCACCAGGGCTCTCGTAGATGGGCACAGAGCAATGGAAGACTCACTTAGCTTGACTCACCCTGGTCCATTTTTAGGCCTCCTGAGGTTGTGGTCAAAGTCCCGCCTGAGCACCTCCACATTTGAATGGCCCCAAGCAAGGTATTTTATCCTCTTTAGACCTTAGTTGCCTGATCTTTGCAGGAAGGAGAATCATCCCACCCTGCCTCACCTCTGGGAGCACCCTGAGGGCTCCACAGGGTGAGAGAGATGGAGGGACAGTGTCCTACAGGACAATTAGCAGGCATTGTGTATGCCCTTCCTCCCCTCCAGCATTCATTCCTAAGAGAGCAAGGACCAGAATGATTTATGCTCTTTTCGTAGATGAGGACACTGAGGCCCAGAGAAAAGTCATGAAGGGTGTTGAGTCAGGATGTCCTAAACCAGGCCAGAGCCTGAGGTCTCCAAGATGAAACGGTTCTTATGGACACCAGGGATGCTGAACCAGGTTCACTACCTTCCTCCACCTGCCCCACATCACAGGGTCAAGTCCAAGTCCCTTATCCACCAGGACACCCACTCCAGCTTCTATACCCCTTTGAGGAGACACCCTTCAAACAGTCCTGGGCCCCTCAGCCGGGAATCCCAGGGGGAAAGCCAGCCGACGTCCCACATTCCCCAAGGCCACAGGGCCCTTCCTAACCCCCATCTCGAGAGAATCTTGCAGTAGCAACACGAACCTCAGTGTCGGAGGCAGGTAGGCCTGAGGTGTGATCTCAGCCACTTATGTGGCACTGTGAAGCCACCCCCCCTCAGGAGCCTCCACCTTCTATACACGAGGGATATGACAGCTCAGTGTGGGTCATGGTGCCGGGCAACGAGGGCTGTAACGCACCTGACACTTAGCAGGAGCTCAGTGAAATGTGGCTACCATCACTCCCACCAGGCCCCGGAGCTCCCCATCTCCTTCCCTTCTCACCAGCCTGAACACACAAGATCCCCTCTCTCCCCATTTTCAGAGGCAAACATTTATCCCTTATCTGCTCTCCGCAGGGAGTACCAGGCCGGCCACTCTAGGTGATAGAATGACAAGACCCTGCCCTGCCTTCAGGTGCCCACCAGCCTGCACTCTTTGCTAGTCTCACCAGGCACCGTTGACCCGTCACCGCCTGTCTCCACCCCTGCAGCCAGTCCTCCAGCCGACCTCTCACCATGGCAGCCCTGATCGCCGAGAACTTCCGCTTTCTATCGCTTTTCTTCAAGAGCAAGGACGTGATGATTTTCAATGGGCTGGTGGCACTGGGCACGGTGGGCAGCCAGGAGCTGTTCTCTGTGGTGGCTTTCCACTGCCCTTGCTCACCTGCCAGGAACTACCTGTACGGGCTGACGGCCATCGGTGTGCCCGCCCTAGCACTCTTCATCATCGGCGTCATCCTCAACAACCACACCTGGAACCTCGTTACCGAGTGCCAGTACCGGAGAACCAAGAACTGCTCGGCTGCCCCCACCTTCCTCCTCCTGAGCTCCATCCTGGGCCGCGCGGCCGTGGCCCCCATCACCTGGTCTGTCATCTCCCTGCTGCGCGGTGAGGCCTATGTCTGCGCTCTCAGCGAGTTTGTGGACCCCTCCTCACTCACAGCTGGGGGAGAGGGCTTCCCTCGAGACCATGCCACAGAAATCCTGGCCAGGTTCCCTTGCGGGGAGGGCCCCGCCAACCTGTCAGGCTTCCGGGAGGAGGTCAGTCGCAGGCTCAAGTATGAGTCCCAGGTAAGGTGTGCAAAGGAAAGCACCCCTTTTTTCTCCTTTTGGTGGTGGCTGGGGGAGGCGGGGGGTTGTCGGGATGGCTCCGTGCTAGAGCTGGAGTTGGTCCCCAGGGGCCAAGGTCTCCAGGAAAGCACTAATCAGCATCAGGTATCAGAGCTGGGTAATCCCATGGGTTAGTGTCTGGTGGGACAAAGGTCAATTCAGTCACAAATATGTTTTAAATGTTAAAGGGAATGTTCTGGCTCAGACTGAGCCTTGATCCCAGTCATGGATTAAGCCCCTACTCCAGCCAGATGGAGCACAAATCCTGCAAGCCTATGAAATATTTGCTATGGGCCATGAGCTGATAGTGGGGTGTGGCTGGCTCCAGGGACCAGAATGTTCCTATCCCAGGAAGGCCGGGGCCAGCAATGAATTAGCCTCAGGCACTGCTGACATATGGCAGTCCTGTGACCCAGGAGGCTGCTGCCCTGCTTCTAGCCTCAGCCTTGGCTTAGTCCTGAGGGAGTGAAGGTTGGTCAGAGGACAGAAGAGCAGACACCTGGGCAGAAACAGAAAAACTGAGCTGGAAGCATTGACTTAGCGAAACAGGGAGCGAGGAACAGACAGGGAAGAGCATAAGATTCTTTACAAGGTCTCTCAGGTACGTAAGCAACACAAACAAAGAAGCAGGGTTGGAGACGCACCAAAGGAGATGGGAGATGAAAGACATAGAAATAAAATTTGATGATCAAAAGCCCACAGATCTCTCTAGAGGAGCAAATGGGGAAATGGGCTCACACCCAAGCGTTTGAGAGAAGCACACTGGCGATTTCAAAATGAGGCAGAGAGTAAGGACCAGGCCATGGGGGAGGTAGGGAAGGCAAGAGGTGGCATCTGGGCTGTGCCTGGCAGTTTTGACCTGGATTTTGATGGGCTGAAATGACGTAAGGGAGGGGGGTAAACCTTGGGGCTAAAGAAATGGCAGCAGAGCCCGGCCAGTGTGGCTCAGTGGTTGAGCACTGACTTATGGACCAAGAGGTCAAAGTTGTTGTTTTTTAAAATATATTTTATTGATTTTTTACAGAGAGGAAGGGAGAGGAATAGAGTTAGAAACATCGATGAGAGAGAAGCATCGATCAGCTGCCTCCTCCACACCCCCTACTGGGGATGTGCCCACAACCAAGGTACATGCCCTTAACCGGAATCGAACCTGAGACCCTTCAGTCCGCAGGCCGATGCTCTATCCACTGAGCCAAACCAGTCAGGGCAAGAGGTCACAGTTTGATTCCTGGTCAGGGCACATGCCCGGGTTGCTGGTTCAATCCCCAGTACGGGGTGTGCAGGAGGCAGCCAATTGATACTTCTCATCATTGATGTTCCTAATTCTTTCTCCCTTTCTCTTCCTCTCTGAAATCAATTAAAAAAAAAAAATTTTTTTTTTAAAAAGGAAAAGAAATGGCAGAAAATGCAGGAGGCAAAGTTTAAGAAACTGTGAATTCGAAAGAGTAAGGAAAAAGCAGTGAAATTATAACCAGAAGGGCCTGCTTTCCTTACAGAAGCAGAATCTTCATTCAGGGAAGTGAGGGCCAGTTCTGAGGGGGTTCTGAGGCCCAGGTTCAGCCCAGCCCAGCCCCTATCTCATCCTGGGCGGGTGGGGGTCCAGACAGCATCTTGCCCCTCCTCACCCTGCCCCTTCTCCGGCCAGCTCTTCGGGTGGCTGCTCATAGGTGTGGTGGCCGTCCTGGTGTTCCTGACCAAGTGCCTCAAGCATTACTGCTCACCACTCAGCTACCGCCAGGAGGCCTACTGGACGCAGTACCGCAACAACGAGGAGCAGCTCTTCCAGCGCACCGCCGAGGTGCACTCCAGGGTGCTGGCCGCCAACAACGTGCGCCGCTTCTTCGGCTTCGTGGCCCTCGACAAGGACGATGAGGAGCTGGTAGCCAAGTTCCCCGTGGGAGGCACACAGCCGCGGCCGCAGTGGAACGCCATCACTGGCGTCTATCTGTACCGTGAGAACCAGGGCCTCCCCCTCTACAGCCGCCTGCACAAGTGGGCCCAGGGGCTGCCAGGCAACGGCACAGCCCCGGACAACATGGAGATGGCCCTGCTTGTCTCCTAAGGTTCCTGTTCCCACACTCTTTGCAAATGACAATCCTTGGTCCAACACTGAACCCCACTGTCTGCTCACATCAGCATCAGATTATTTTCTTTCAACCATAGCTTTTTGGGAAAACAGACCAAAAGAAACAAAGTAATCTGGGTACAGAGGAGAGAGCTAATGCACAATGTGGTCAGCGTGACAGGAAGGCTCTCCGACCTGAAGAAATCCCCTCTCGTACTGCCGTCAGCCACCTGATCAACAGCTTGGGAGGGAAGATTCGTACTCAGAACTGGTCCTTAATCAACTATGCTGTGGAGGACCTTTTACTGGTGGGCTCCAAGGCTGAGAAGCCCTGGCCAGCACAGCGAGGTGACAGTGAAACCTGCCAGCAGGCTCATTGTATAGGATATTGTGCAGTTAATTTGTGTCTAACTGCTTATGGACACCCAGCTCAGTGGTGCTCAGCTGGGAAGCTGCCCTTCGATGCATGCCACTGGCTTTATTTTATATATTTACATTTTTGATAAAGCTTTTCTAAGTATAAAGGACTAGCTTGCTGTCTATGTGATTGGATGGGACATGCCACAGCAAATCGGTGATCATGGGGACAGGCCTAAATCCCATCTCCTATGAGAGGGAAGGGGACAGGGAGACCCTGGGCAGGGCTCAAATGGACAGGAGGGAGGGCAGGGGCTCCCACAGGAGGGAAAGCTCTGGGGCTGATGACCCCTTAGCAGCTGGATTCAGGTATCTCACTTGATCTGGAGGAACAGAGGGAGCCTGGTCTCCCCGGAGGGAAGCTCAGCTTAAATTTCTTGGGTCAGAAGATCCTGCCCTCAGTAGGGAAGACTAGCTCTCATAGCCCAGCCCTGGCTCCTCCTCCCTCCCACGCTCACCTTGCCCAATTGCCTCCACCACCTCAGAAACCTTTGATGCCCTCCCTTGTCCTGGCCCTGCTTCCTGGCACATGACTCAGTCATTGCCCATGGAAAAGCTCCCTAGCTCTCGGGACATTTAAAACTCTGCCAAAGAAAACGATTCACTCTCTTAAGACCAAGCCAAAAAAGAACTGGCTTCAACAACTAGCTGGGTCTGTGCTGGCCTCCAAGATCTCTGGACCGTACGAGATCATTACTTATCAAACGATGCAGGGAGACTGTCTTTCTGGGAATTTTATGAGGGAGGCCTGGGCCCATCACATCGCCTCTCCCTCAGGACCCAAGGAATAGCCATCAAGTCAGCCAATGCCCTGCGCCCAGCAGTCATTCTCCCAGAGGAGCAGGAAGGGGGCTCTCCCCAGAGCCACACAGCACCCAGTGTAGGTCCTCACAGACTCCTGCCTGCCAGGCAGCATATGACATACATGCTCTCACTTCATCCACAAAACCCTGCAAGGTTGGACTTTTTAGCTCCATTTTACAATGAGACACGCATTTGGAGAGGCTGGGTCACTTGGCCCACCAGGTGGCTTTCCTCTCAGGTGCCTCAATTTTCCTTCCTGGGCTCTATTTTTGTCCTTCCATCCCAACTCACAGCCTCCAAAAAAGGGTACAAGGCTGAGCTGAGGCTAACAGAATGCCCAGAGACTCCAGGATCTGAAGGAGGGGCCTACTTCCTGGACCCTGCTGACCCCTCTGGCTATACCAAGAGCCTGCCAGGGCCATAGATGGTCAGGATTCAGCCGTCCACTCCTGCTCCTGGGAACTCCCATGAAGGAGAAACCGGAGCAGTCTCAGAAAAGGAGAAACATGAAATTGGTACTCGAAACAAAGTAAAAAAAGGAATTTATAAGAAATGCCTTTTTATCCTAACAGGATTGTCCCAAAGTTGCTGCAGAAAAAGCAGCACATAAATAGAGACCTCAGGCAACACAGTTGTCAACTGCCGGGTGCCTGAGGTTTCGGTGGGCTGGGCCCTGCTGCAGGGGCTGTCCGGAGCCAGCCTGCAGCTAGTCCTCCAACACGGAGCTCTTAGCCTCCACGTAGTCCAGGGCCTTTGCCTTCACTGCCTGCACGTCCTTCTCGGTGCCGTGTTGCTTCTCATAGTCCAGGTAGCGCTTGAAGAAGAATTTCATTCGCTTTGGGGCCAGACTCAGGTGAATGACGCGCTCGAAGATGTCCCTGTGAGGAGAGCAGGGCAGCGTTTGCCTCTCGGTCCCCCGCCACACGACTCCTGGCTAACCTTCCCCACTTGCTCTCAGGCTCTGGAGCAGGCCCTCTGTCACCCAGCACTCCCACTTCTAGCTTCACTTTTACTACCTCATCCACTCCCATCGTGCCCACGGAGAGCGAGAGAATACCACCCTTCCCGTCCAGGTGAGCAGACAGACACCCAGAGATGTTACAGGACTTACTGGCCTAAAGTCACACAGTAAGTCAGGACAAAGCTACTGGGAGGGCACACACGTGAGACACGTATCTGTGAGAAAAGCTCTGCTTAAAGCTCACTGGGGGGCTGAGGGAGGCACTAGTTCTTTCTGGAGCTCAGTCTACCATCTCCAATCCTCCCTGCCTATGGGGATGCCGGTGGGCAACAGTGAGTTCTGCCTGTGAACATTCTCTACAGTGAGAGTCAGGCACAGTGCTAATTATGAAGGAAACCCAAGTCTCCGGACACCAGGCCAGTGGCCAGCCTACCTCCCACCCAAGGTTCCAGATATCGACCAGAGGCTGGCCCGAGGCAGGAAAAGAAGTTGGAAAAGTGAATGCCATAGGACCTGATGTGTCAGGTCAAAGCTGTTTTGCCAGACAGAGTGAGACAACTGGGGATGCTGGAGCTGCTGTGGGTGCTGAAGTCATCTGCTTGGCCAATGTCCCCAACCCCCACAGGGAATTCAGCCCCGATCTGTCTGCCCCTCTCACCGGACTTCCTTCTGGCTGCCATGCTTGATGGTCATGTCGATGTAGACCGACCAGACATCCGTGCGCTTCGGGTAGGTGCTCAGTGTGTTCTCAAAAATAGCCTTGGCCCGCTCTGCATCCCCCAGCTGGAACTCCAGCTGGGCGAACTTGGAGATCACATCCACGTCTGCAGGGAGAGGACACTCAGACACACAAACAGGCAGAGCCCACACCACAACACAATGTGCCACAGGGACCGAGTCTGACTCCTGACTTCCTGCTCGTGTCCGAAGACACAGGTAGCGACAAGAGGGTCAGTGGGGTAGATTAGGGCCACATACACAGATGGGCACTCCCACTGCAGACACCCTACTCTCCGGGGGCAAGGGCAACAGAATTAGTGCTAACTGCAACACGCATTGCATGCATGAGCATACAATCAATAGAGAGACAGACAGGTATGTAACCGCCACAAGGCTTCCTGCCACAACCCCTGTGCCCAGATGTGGGCGAGCCCAATGTGCTCAAGAATCGAGCCGAGAGTGGGCTGGACACTCACGCTCTTTTTGAGGCAGGCACTCGAGGGCTCGCTGCATCACACGGTGACTGGCCCCAGCCTGGCCCCTCCGCAGAAGGAAGGCCCCATATTTGACCCAGACAGCTTTCTCCTGCCGGAAACGCTTCAGCATCCGGTTGTAGAGTTCACCAGCTTCCTGTGGGAAAGACCAGGCAAGCTGGGTAAGGTGATGCGACAGAGGGGGGCAACAATAAAGACAGGCAGCTCCCCTGTGAGAAGCCAGTCTTGGGCTCACAGATGCCAACTACTATGCAGGCCCAATTCTAGCTACTGAGGGGAGGGCACGCTCCCAGAGATGAGGAGGCCTGACAAGATGGAGAGTCTCCCTACTAATCCTATGGCACACAGAGGTCTTAAGACTAGGACAGGATCCAGAACGTGGGGATTCTTCCCTGCTGCCCTCATGACCCCCAGGAGACGGTTCTGAGTGGCTGGGGACCCTCTGGCAGCAGGCACCAGGCCCAGACTCCTACCTGGAACTTCTCTGACTTGGTATAGATGTCAGCCAGCTGGAGAAAGACCTTGAGAGGCTCATTGTATTGCACGGCCCGCTCGAAGACCTTGGTCAGTGACTCCTGAGACCCGTACATGTTCTCGAGGTTCAGCAGTGCCACCCACACGTTCAGCTTCTCCTGCTCCTCTCTGGAGGGAGAGCAGTCGGTGCATGAGCTCCATCATCTCAGCCCAAAGAGCCCTTCACTCCACTCCGGGGATGTCAACTGGAATTCTATCCTCCTCCTCCCCAGGCTCCAACCGTGTCCTCAGCTCCCACCCTCAAGCGCAGGCACTGAGAGGCCCTGTCCCACTGCAGTTCACAGCAGCAGGAAGCCCCACCCTGACTGCGGGGCCTGGAGCTCCCAGACGGAGGCTCTACCTCCATTCCCAGGAAGGAAGCCTACCAGGTCTCAATCGGGCCTGAGGTCTGAGCTGGAAGGAGCAGAATCTCTGGTCTGCTTCTCTCCCCAAACTAAGAGAATGAAAGTAAAGGTTCACCACTCCTTCATCAGCCTTCAGGGCACTCACTCTACCCTCTGCCTGGAAAATGGCCACACGCAGAGTTTTCACCCAGATATGTGGAAAGCTGTGTTCTCTATTCTACTTCTGCTCCAAGTTGGGCACATTATTTAAGTCTCTAACTTAACAGTGAAGAGGACTATAAATTATAGATGAGCAGATCTATTTCACAGACGGCACATCTGAGAGAGAGTCCGGGAACCCCAGGTGGCAGCCACTCCAACTGCTGTCAGACTGCAACCTGGGGAGACAAGGCCCTTCCTGTCCAAAGGCCCGTCCCTAAAGCAGAGAGATGAAGCCCAGACCTGAAGGAGATGGTCTTGAGAGCTCTCTCGGCCACAGCCCGGGCCTTCTCGATCTCTGTGGCCTGCAGGTGGAAGGCCATGTACTGCAGCCACAGGATGGAGCTATTGGGGGAGCTCAGCACCAGTCGGTCAAAATCATCTGCTGACTCTGGCTGTCGCCCAGGGTCCATCAGTGCCTCCTCCATGCGGGACAGCTCTTTCTCTGCTTTCTGCTTCTCCAGCTCCCTTTCCTTCTTGCTTTTCTTCTTCTGCTATGAAAGGCAAAAACAAGTGAGTAATCAGCTCCTCAGACCCTGGGCAGGTCTGTGATAGAAGCCAAGAGTCGGCAGGGCAATCCCCAAGCTCTATAAATACTCCCTAGCCCGAGACCACCCCACTCTGCCAGAAGAGACACCTACAGACTAGGACAGACATAGGAGACTGGCACCAAGAGGTCCCTGCAAAATACGACACCGTGGTTTGCTGTGGCTTCTCGTCTTCCTCGCTGTCTGAGCTCTCTCTTCGAGGTGGCAAGGCCGGGGTCAGAGATTCTAGCCCCACGTCCCAAACGAAGCCGGAAGACAGCTGCAGCCGGGGCACCTCTGCTGGCCTGGTCTGCTTCCCCTGGAGGAGCATGGAGGTGTGTGAGGAAGGCACGCAGCTCAGGCTGCTCCCTGTTCCCCAGCCCCATCTCACCCGGAGGAGCAGGACTCCCACCATGCCCTCCTCCCAGGGCCAAACCCAGTCCACCCGGGAAATTTATAGCAGTGACAAAAAACTTTCTTTGCAAATAAATTCATTTGGGTGACAAATTTTTAAATATA